TGGACTGCCAAGTGGTGGACACAGGGAGAGACGCCGGGTGGGAGTGGTGGGGCGTGGGAGGACAAGGGCGCGTGTTAGAGGCTTGTTAAATTATCTATTTATTGGAACGCGATGAATGCCCTTCAGGACAAAAGCCGCTGGTGATACTGTCCGAACATTCGCCACCAACAGAGGTCCTCGGGTTGACACGGGCCGGCGGCCGGCGGTACTGCCTCGGTCACGTGCAAAGGGCGTGATGTAGCACGTGATCAGACTGTCCACTATAAACTTGAGGCCAACTCCTGCTCGTCCCCGAGACTGAGGCCTGGCAACACTCAAACTCTCACTCACTCGAATGCCTCCCCAGCGCCGAATCTCTCATCGTCGAGCCGCCGCCCAACGACCATCGGAGGCTCCGAGACGCGACGTTTCACATTACCAGAAAATAAATTACCCGTCTGACGGCCCCCCTCCCCAGCGCCGAATCTCTCATCGTCGAGCCGCCGCCCAACGACCATCGGAGGCTCCGAGACGCGACGTTTCACATTACCAGAAAATAAATTACCCGTCTGACGGCCCCCCTCCCCAGCGCCGAATCTCTCATCGTCGAGCCGCCGCCCAACGACCATCGGAGGCTCCGAGACGCGACGTTTCACATTACCAGAAAATAAATTACCCGTCTGACGGCCCCCCTCCCCAGCGCCGAATCTCTCATCGTCGAGCCGCCGCCCAACGACCATCGGAGGCTCCGAGACGCGACGTTTCACATTACCAGAAAATAAATTACCCGTCTGACGGCCCCCCAACCATCACCTTCAAGAGCGACCCGGGGGGTGATAAATGGCTTCCGCATAAAGATACGCAACGATGAAGGAGGAGAAGAGACCTGCGGTGGAGATTAAAGCTATGGAGTCGATGTTGGAATGGATGGATCAAGAGCACACCGAGGTCTTCAATTGCTTGGGTGTGAGTCCGTCGTTCGCGTCACGCTCCTTATAACGAAGGATAACTAAATACTAATGTCTGCTTGAACTTTAGATGCCTTACAACGCCTACGTACATGGCCCCCTCAAACGAGTCACAGTCGTCCCCATCGGTCCAAACTGTCACGTTGGACCTCGTCTACTTCGATGCCAAGATCGGATCCAACGGGATGACCTATGGGTTTGGCCTCGTTCCCAGTACCTTCGAGACCCCAAGGGCGTACGATTGGAAGAAGCATGGGGTTAAACTGTTCCTCCAGAATACACGGTGGGAGTACGAAGAGGTGAAGCAGATCCACCCTGGCGATACCTACATCCTTGCTCCACCTGAACAAACTGTGCTTATTTTGATTCAGACCGGCGCCGAGGCGGGTAGGCATAGGCGTTTAAAGTTCACGTTGCCTTCGCTCATCGGTGATGTTGAGCATACCCATTTGACGTGACCCCGTTCCCCCGCTGTTGATATATCACAATTCCTACATGCTCATTTCGTAGGTTTTTCTTGGACTACACTCGCACTCGCACTCCAAAAGCCAGATTACAGATTACAGACGTGTATTCACGTACATCTTTCATTTTGAGTTGGTCATTCCCATATCTTTTTGGCTATTTAGACGCGTTGTAAATGCGACGATGAATGAAAAAAGCTCGACGCGCCCTACACGTGATCTCGACGTGTCCCGAAATGGATCTTACTTCGATCCCGGTGTGTCGCATCGAGAATTATTTCTACCAGTGCCACGATCGTCTCGACTTCTCACAAGATCTACTCTGCAGAATGTTTTCACTCGCGATCCGGGTGTGTGTATAAACCTCCCCCCGTTTTGCATCCCAGAACGATTCTAGGTCTCATGTAGGCTGGAGAGCTTTTCATCGCACTGGTATTCGTTCCGCATGCGATCAAAAGGAAACGTCGTAGCAGGTCCTCGTATCCGACTCCGACGTCTTTTTCCCTTTTCATTTATTACCTGAGCCCATTGTCCCCACCTCCTTCCTTGTACTCGCACGCCCACATCGTGCTTATTGGTTCACTCTATTCTATAACCTAGTCTTAGAACTCTTCTGCCTCGCACCGGCACGGGCCGACCACTCGCTGTCAATTATTTTCGGCTACGTACTGCCTCCCACCTTGGCCAATCTTGTGGCGGGTAACATGGGTTGGCGGGTTGCTTGGCCTGGAGACGTGGCTCGCGTCTTTGCGGGTATTTTTAGTTGAGTGTGTGGTGCCTCTTTGGCTTGGCTCCTTGGCGAGGGGGGGGAGGTACCTCGGAAAAGGATTCCTATTCTTGGTCTCTGGGTATTTTTAGCGAGTGGGTCTGGAATGTCTTGGCAACTAAGAATAACTTGGTACTTGGTACTTGGCAGAAACTTGGCACTTGGGTATGGTATAGTACATAATTTACACATAGATAGCAACGACAACGACAGCAGGTAGTGTAAGTGAGGGGGGGGGAGGCTATGAACTAGGAGAACGTGATCTGGTGCTGCTTGTTCTGGGAGCTACTCGTGCGAGAGGTTCGATGGGAGGTGAATGGGGTTCTTCAGAGTATGGGGAGAGTGGTACGCGTGTGCGGTAAGGGTACATCATCGAAGAAGGATTATGATGATGGTGGGGAGGCGGCGGAGAAGACTCGCGCGGCCGTTTCCGGGAGGTGGATTCAATGGGTGGGAGGGGTTGGTTGTACACTTCGAGGAGTGTTCTTTGTAGTGAAGCAGTCTGAGCTAGGCGCTGGAGGGAGTATTAGATAAATCTCATCCAAAGAGAAGAGAGCCACCCACGTTATCCTCTGCAGACTTTGCGTTGAGCATGGCTAACAGCATCTCTCGGTCTCCATCGCCCTTTGTTCGATAGGCAGTGAGAATATCTCGGAGGGACGGGGGAGGAGGAGTGCTGAGAATCTGGTTGGCAGCGTATACGTGGTCCTTGAGCGACATCTTCTTTGGGTGTTCAGTTGGGCGTTCTTGGCTCACTCCCCGTTCCTTTATAACTAAATCTACATGAAAATCTCTTGGCAAAACCCAAAGACCGCAAAGCGTTTCTTGGCATTCTAAATTTAGTCATGCAGCAACACTCTTTCCATTACATCCACCACCCAGATCACCTAATCCACCTCCCCGCAATCGACACCACCGCCACGCACGTCGGCTTGGACATCGAATGGAAACCCAACTTTATAAAAAACGTCCCAGAAAACCCAGTCGCCCTCGTCCAACTCGCCACAGCCACGTCCGTCTATTTATTCCACCTCTCCCGCCTCAGGTCCTTCCCTCCGTCTCTCCGGTCCCTACTCCAGAATCCAAAAATACTCAAGACGGGGGTGGGCATTCAGAACGACGTCAATAAGCTATGGATAGATTGTGCGGTTTCTGTGACCAACGTCGTCGATTTGGGGATGCTGGCGAAGGGGATTGATTCACAGCTTTTTAGGGAGAGGCTCGGCAGGTACCAAGAATTGTTGTATTACCCGCAGCACCTGCCTCTGCCTGCACAGGATGGGGACGAGGGCGAAGAGTCCCCGTACGATCCGTACGAAGAAAGACTCTTTCGAGGGCCGTTCAAGGAGAATGTAGGCTTGGCGAGGATGGTAAAGGTCTTTCAGGGTAGAGAGATGGATAAAGCTAAATCGGTGACGAGGAGTAATTGGGAGTTGCCCCTGACTCAGAGGCAGATTCATTGTGCGTCCATCTTTCTTTCTCACATTATCCCCTTCTCACACTCACGATCGCAGACGCAGCCGCAGATGCGATAGCCTCGTACTCGCTCTACTACAACATCATCGATCAACTCGTTCATCTACCCCTCCATCTATATCCCAAACGCAAGTATTACACTTTCGATGCTATACGTGGGGCTTTTTACGAGTCTATCTATCCCGATGAACGCGTGCCTCAGCGGACCATCACCGTTTCGCAGGAAGACGAGTCCGAGTTGTATTTGCAGGGTATACCCCAGGGAGGTCTCAGGCCGTGGTTTATTTCGAATCCAGAGTATGATCCGGCGCCCAGACCTAAAATTGAAAAGAAGGAGAAGGAGGGCGAGGGCGCCGCTGAGAAGAAGAAGGATAAGGATCGTAGAGGAAGAGGGAGAGGGCGGGGGAGAGGGAGGGGTACCTATAGAGGCGAATCTTCGAGGGGTAGGGGACGGGGAGGTTAGCTTCTTGTACCTTTTTCTGTGTATTTTCAAGTGTTGTTGTAAACCTATATCCAGATCGATACCACCATCCTCCACCCATCCCACTCACCGGCCTGATGGTCTAGTAGTATGATTCTCGCTTTGGGTTTCCCTTACTCCCCACTTTGCGAGAGGTCCGGGGTTCAATTCCCCGTCAGGCCCATGTTCCTCCCCGTACATGAGATTTTTTTTCTTCTTCCCTTCTTCCCTGTTTCGAGATGTTCACGGATAAGATGTGGGGAAAGGGCATTCTCTTGAATTGTGCAATGTGTAGTATAGTCTAGGGCGCAGGAATGATAGCATCAGGAACCCAATGATATGAGTTGTTGTTGGAGTGGGGGAAGAAACCATCAAAACGATCTAGCTGAGATACACAACCCAGAGAGACAGCCTAGTGAGTCGAGGGGAGGGGAAAGGGGACGAACGAACGAACGATTCTTTTAATCAATGGGGCAGATATTCCCCCCAGCCCAGCCCAGACGTATAGTAAATGGTGGGACTCGGGAGAAAGAAACTATTAACTAAAGCAAAACGAGAAGGTTGCAAATCTTCATCACCGCAGTTGGCGAAATGAATGGAACGACTCGGGAAAATGTCAAATGAAAGCTTGGGCTACACGATTCGCGTTACGTGGCGGGGGGGGTCACTGGCACGTTGAGATGCAGAATATGACGCGTGACGAAGGTGAGCGGTAGTCAGTCGAAAAAACAAAAGAAGGTGCAATGCCCAAGGGTGAGGGTGAAAAAGGATGGATATTAATAACGCGATGAAGGATTCTGGCGTTGAATTGGGAGTATGGCGCGTAGCGCGATGTCGTAGGGTGCAATGTACCCTCCGGAAACCGGAAATGTCGAGCTAGAAAGAAGTACAGACTCGAATGCAAAAAGAGGGCGAAGAGAATAGAATACAACGGCTCACGGAAACAATGCAGCTAAACGTTACTTCTGTATCTTTTCAATATCGAACCCAGGGGGCCAGGATAATCGCTGGGGCTGGTATCGTTTGTCCTAACTCTGCTCGTCGACAGCTTCCCCCTCCTCCTCCCCTCTTTTTTTTTCTTACGGCCGAAACGAGGTCCAGTCTTCACGTTCGGTAGTAGCTATGGTGTTTCCTTCCAAGTTCTTTGGCTTGTGAAGCCGGACCGAGTCTGAATCCCAGGCGGTTGTCGGTAAGCCGCCATTCAAGGGTCCAAGGAGACACGAAAAAACAGCGAAGGAGGCGAGGAGGAAGAGGAAGCGAGCTGATCGTATTTCCAAAGCCTTTTCCCCCCCCCCGACCTCGTCATAATCACGTGGTCATATGTTCGCGTCAATCAGGATTCAGGTCAAAGCTGGTATTTTGGGCGTCTATTTCCCCCTCCCTCCCTTTGCCTCTTGCCTCTTGACGACGACGATGTCTATCCCAGACGAATTCGATAACCTCTCAGACGACATTGATTATGCTGCTATAGGAGAAGACGAGTGGAATTTGTATCAGACGCAGAGTGCTGGTGTTTGTCCGATTCCGATTCCGATTTCTGGGCCGTCGTCTTTGAATACGAATGCGACAATACCGACTAGACCTGCGAGCTCGTCCTCGCGCTCCACTTCGTATTTTGATACCGACGACGACGAGAACCCAGAGTTCTTTGCTCAGTTGGATGCGTTGGAGAGGGGGTTGACGCAACGAGGTGAGTGTGTCTGTCCGGGTTCGTTTACTTACTAAACTCGACTTAACTCCCCGCAGACCCAGACCTACATACTGGTAAACGATCTCGTTCGTCGTCTGATGCGAGTCAACGGTCGATGGGGGTGAAGAAGAAGCTTAAGGAGACGGTGAAGGGGAAGGAGAAAGAGACGGAGAAGGAAGGAAACGACAACTTTTTGACGATGAAAGGATTACTCGACACGTTTGAAGAGGAAGTTTGTTGTCCAATGTGAGTATTGAGTACTATATCTTCCGAGCCGAAACAAAACGAACTCCTCCTCTTCTCTCTCTTGTAGATGTTGCGAATACATGTACGTTCTCCTTTCCGTGACCTTTCCGTATACCTTGACTCTAACGGACGCCCGCTCAATAGGGCCTACGCACACGCAATCAACCCCTGCGGCCACACTCTATGCGGGAGCTGTGGAGTTGCTTGGTTTATCACCAGCGTAAGCCCCTTCTCCTTCCTCTCCCTTCCCTCTCCTCCTTCCCTCTCTCATCTCCTTCTTCCTACAATCCCTATCCTATCCTATCTCACCCGTGGGCCGCGACAGAAAAAACCAACATGCCCTTTATGTCGTACCAAAGCCGAAGATGCAAGACCGTTGATCCCGAATATCGTGGTTGATAACGTGGTGAGGAGGTATATGCAGATGCTCGGAGACGGAGAAGGGGGTGAAGGGGGAGAGGGAGAGTGGAAGGTGAAGATGGAAGACTTCGAAGCGAGGGAAAGGTTCGTCCCAGTCCCAGTCCCAGTCCGTTCTGTGTTTCTTCCCCCCCTAACCTGTAACTCGTAGAGAATGGAAGACCAAAAAAGAACCCCTATACAAGAACGAATTGGTTCGACGTCACGCTCGGACATCCACCAACACCAACCCCAACACCACCAACACGAACCAGGGCCGGGGCAGGTACCCAATCACCGAACGTTTAGAGGACCAAATCCGCGCTGCTATTAGGGAAGATATCGCGGCGGCGATGAGGCAGAGGGAGAGGGAATCGGATGAGGGGAGGATAGTTGCGTTGGCTAGTATATTGTGATTTCGATTTGATTTTGCTCGCTGGTGTGTGTGTTTTTGGGGGTGGGTGGGTCGTTGAGATTTGTAACTTTATACTATATCTATATCATGGATCTCCATTGTAAAATCTTGGTCGAGGTTTTTCAAGTTCCCGGCTCACTTGGAGGCTGGGGGTCCAATAATCTAACGTACACACCTCCCACTGCAAAACTGGGAGGGACATCTGCAACTTCCTCCTCGGGAACTAAGCCAACCTGCCAAAAACTTCGCGCGAACGGTAAGCCACCGAAAAACGTTTTTTTTTTTTGGGTCCTGCCACTGGCTCCTGCGTATTCTGAACGAAACCTGAGGCGACCTTGACCTTGATACCAAACCCACGATCAACGTTCAACCCCTGCGGGGGGGTTGTGGCGTTTCGCAGTTCATCATATATGTGAGTGTCATTCCTCTTTACGCCAGCAGCCCTGGTGGCACAATCCCACCTCAACTCAACTCAACTCTGTCCTTCGTACCCGACTGGTCCAACGAGGACAAAATCCGGCAGTGAAACATGATGCATGCTGCCTGGGGGGAAGACTGGAGTTGTCGGACTGATCGGTAGCAACTCGTGCGCATAAGAAGTAAACAGCGATAACATTGGCCAGGACGTGAACGATGCGTGGAGAGCGTGTACGTGAAGAGCGTGAATCATACAAGACATACAGACGTGAAGAGATCATCTCGGGAGGAGGGGGGGGTAGGTGAAAAGAGTAAAGAGTAAAACAAAAAGATATTGAGAAAGGGTAGCCAGCCGTAAATAGGAAGAGAATATGAAAAAAAGAAACTACAACATCAAAACAAAACAAAAAAGATCTACATACAAACAACAGTTGTTGGTTCTCAGAACCTGTTTCGCGTATAGGTACACACCTTATGTAGTATACAATTTTACAAACCAAGAGAGACGCTCAAGTTCCCTCCCTTCTTCCAATCAAGCTCGACGACGTTCCACCCCTCTTGATTCTGATCGAGGCGTACAACAACGACACTAGCCCCGTCAACTTCAAATTGGAGCTGGGGTTTCTGCGCATGCGCATGCGCATCGAGGCCGTATATAACCACGGTATGGTTCGTATTCGTGTCGGTAGAGTGAAGCAGCGTAGTGTTAAACGACACCGTCTGCTTCGCGGTAGCTGAACTCTCAGGTTCAGCCGTCGTAGACTCCTGAACTTGTGCCGGCGTCTTCGCCTTGATCACAGGATCAGCCAACAACGGCGTCCTCTCATCCACTTCTTCAATCCTAGTAGTAGGCGTTGAATGCCCACTAACACTCGCGCTGGCAGACCTAGACCTCAACCCACTCCCCGCAGTCCCGAACCACCTGTTCACGAATCCCGAATCCGATCCCGCACGTCCACGTCTTCCGCGTTGAGCCGCAGAGTTACGCCCACCACCACCAAGAACCAACCTCTTCACCAAAATCAACAACCAAAACGACGCAGCGAGGAAAAACTGTCTGAAACACCCTACGAGTCCAGCAGGTCGTTTCTGCACAGATCCGTTCTTCTTCTTGTTTCGAGAAGAAACAGAACTCGCGCCGCTCCCGTTGGCATTGGCATTGGCGTCCGAATTGGCTCCACTCCCGCTCCCGCTGGCACTCGAGATGAACGAGATCGACCTCGCCAGCTCGACTCTCCTCGACGAAGCAGCGTTGGTGCTCACAGCAGTCGTAGCCGTGACGGGAGCAGCAACACTCGAAGAGATCACTCCAATATCAGAAATCGACGCGCTCGAATCGTTTCCTACGAGTCCACCACTACCACCACCACTTTCCTGTTGCAACCTGGCAATGTTCTTCACCGTCAAATGAGCGATCGGTTTCAGATGCGGCGATGGAGGCGGAGTTGGGAGAATCTCCTCAGCCTGAGTAGACGTCGAGGGGGAAACAGAACCCTTTGACGATTCCGAAGGCGAGATCGATGGCGGGAGGTGAGGCGTCAAAATCGCGATGGCGATAGACTTGGATAGCGCGAATGGGTACAGAGGACTCAATAATACCGTTTCGCCGACGACGAGTGTGACTTTCGTATCCACAAACTCGATAGATTTGCCGCGGCACAAGACGAAACGTGTCTTCTGAGGCTGGCCCATCAGCTCGGCGGCATCGACATTGACCCTTGCCTTGCCCTTTTCCTTCACTGGAACCAGAGGAGCCACTGAAAGGCGAACAGGACACGTTTTAGCGGACGATGGGAGAACGAGAACGGGAATATCCTTCTCGTCTCCAGTTGCGAATGCGAGCTTGCACGGGTGGAATGCGGACTGAGAAATGGGTCCGATGGAGGAGAGAGTAGCCGGAGGTGACGTCGGCGATGGTAAGGCAGATCCAGACACTGTCAGGGCGGAGGTGGCATGGGCGACGAGTTTCTCCCACTCCGCGGTGTTGCCGTCTCGGAACGACTGCGCGATCACTGTCCC